TTTTTTTTTTTTTTTTAGTTTTATTCATTTCAAACGGGCAGGATCCGGCCCGCGGGCCGTAGTTTGCCCACGGCTGGGCTAGAACAATGGTAGTGCCTCCTGTGTACATTACCTGGCAATTAAAATGAAAGAGTTTTCATTTTGACAGGCCATTGTGATGCAGCCTCATCACAATCAGATACTTGAGCCTAGTTCTCAAAGCTGCTTTGGAGCCAGTAGTGGGAATGTTCCTCTATAGCAGCTCCTCGAATAACGACTCAATGTCATTTAGTTATAATGTTGGAACCTGACTCGTTTATATCAATTAGCCTATGTTAACACTCCGGTGTGGGGTGAATTTCCCGCCAAAATATAAGATGGCTCTGTCTTTTGGTTTTGTTCCATCCACCAAAAGGGTGGATTACAAACAAATATTTGGTAATACGCAGTTACAATCGGCCCGAGTTTACACGTTTCCCGCACTCCACCGCAAATCTATATGAACCGAGTTAAAGACGGCTCCCGCGGAGTACGCGCAATTCACGCGAGCCGACTTAACTCGTTTCCCGCACTCCAAGTGTTAAAATTGACTTCATTACATATCATTTCACTTACAGTTGTTAAGCAAGGACTTAACTGTATAAAAATAATAAACCAAGGGTGAGCCATGCACAACAGCTTTGTGCTTCCAAGTACTAACTGCTGAACTGACTCAATGTCTTTCCCCTCTGGCTCTGGGAGCCCTCAGAGCCAGGTGAGTGAGGACCAGTTCCACTGGAGTCCTCAAAGAGCTGCAGGGTTTTATAAACCAGCAAGGAAACCTATTCAATCCAGGGCTTTTCTTGAAAGTCCATCTTGAGTTTACTATCAATTCCCCCTACCCCCACACCCAATATTTTAGAAGCAGCTACTAAGAGTGTATTTCTTCCAAGAAGCCTTCTAACAAGTAGTATATGAGCATTCCTTAAAGTTCACACACATGGCTTTATTTGAATTTTACTTTCTCTTTTTAAAGGTGGTTACTCAACCAAATGAAAATACATCTGCTATGTATATGGTATGCTGCTTAACGGCTTCATTCCACTGTGTAGAAGATAGCTCTTAAAGTTTGCCTCAATTATCTCCTTTAGGGCTAGAATGTAGAGGTACCCCTGCAGATGCTTTTCCTCTGGTTGATTAGGGCATTAAAGGCCAGTTAGGAAGCTGCATAGTTTCTTGAGAATGCATCATAAACAGAAAACAATTTTCTGTGGCTGAAAGAACCTCACCTGGAGAAATGTTGATCAGGAACCCTGTCTCCCTAAACAGTACAAAATAATTAAGCCCTCTTCTCTTATGTCAGGGTCTTATGAGGACAGTAATGGGAAAAAAAAAGCCTCTTTGGAAAAGAGGGACCCAAGAGAAGCAGGTTCTGCTCTAATGAATGGGGGCGCGCAGGGATCCCATACAAGTCTGAGCAGACAGCCTGTAGTCGGTATGGCTGACATGGGGTATAGGGTGGGAGCCAGAAATTCAACTGTTCTCTTCAGCTCTTGACAGGAAAAATGGTGAGTACAGAACTTAATCGAGGTCCAGAACTAACATCACAGTCACAATAACCATACCTGTTCAAAGGAAAGCAGGCCTGGATCCAAGAGAGTGCTTACACTGGAGTCCAGGATGACGAAAAAAGGGAAAGGAGATTAGGACCATTTTTACCTTTTTCCTTTGGTGCATAATAAATGAGCTTCCTTTCTTTCATTAAAAAAAAAATACTTAGAATGAAAGAGTACTGAATTTAGCAGAAGTATACATGAAGGCTAGTAAGAAGTGCAGTAGACTATATGTCAGCCAATCAAGACAGCTAAAAGGTCTATCTGCATCAGTGTTAGTTTTAGATAGAAAGTTCTTGGAAGGCAGAGAATGTGTTTGTAGTACTATGGCTTGTGCAATGTGTGTTGAAGAGGAAAGACCAAACCTCCGGGACCACTGAAATGTCAGACAACCACTTAAATTACATGGACAAAGCCACAAACCCACAAAAAAACCCGCATCCTGAGACACACTACTTGCCTGCTACCAATTCCCCTCTCAAAGAGACAAGGAATCGATGCTGCAGGCTGGCAATGAAATAGGCTACTTGTGCCTCAATCCAGATTACTTCTTGAAGGAATGGGATAGTAATGCTTTCTGCTTAATTCAAGATGCACAAACATAATACACAGAGCAGAAAATTCTCCTGGATCCTCAACTCTGCTTTTGCTATATGAGGATGCACATGTTAAGTCTCCCATATGCTTGTGAGAACAGAAATCTGAACCAGCAAACAACAAAGGCCACAGCACAAAATTTATTGGAATTATTTACTAAATAATCCATATATATCTAACATCACTGAATGGAAATAATGTTAATTTTCTATTTTAAATAGCAACACTTCCACTGGGTTCTTTCAAGAAAAGTCAAAAACTTCTTGGTGACTGTGTCTTTAACAAATGGAATGACCTAACTAGTGAATTTAGATGTATCTGAATCAGCTACTGAACTCAATATTGCTGACATGTTTTTCTACTTAAGCAAACAAAAAACAAAGCTTCATAGTTTAGTAATTATTATGTTTCTTGGTTTTGGTTCTCAAATGCCGCAGAAAGATATTTGATGAAAGGAAGCAAAGCACCTAATCTCAGCAGTCTCCTTAAAATCCACACGTTTAAGGTTGCTTTCACAACACCAATATAAATATGTAGATCCCCATCTGATAGGTTTCTTCACTTATGTGAGGAACACATTCAAAACCTTAAGTCTTCACTCTTGCTTCATACTACAGCCATTTTATTAAATTACCCATAAAAGCCCTCTGTCCTGGTTGGATGGAATCACTAGATAAGAATTCATTACAACCTCCTCCAAGAAACCAAGATGTCAATACAAATTTTGGTGGCTAATATGTTATAGTACTTATGGATACTTTGTTGTTTTAATGGCAAGTATATTGCAAATTCATCATTAATAAGTGAATTTCATAATATACATAGAAATAAATAAATCTATTACAAGACAGGGGTGGTGAACAAAAGTAGGTTTACAGTTGTGAGTACACGAAACAGTTAATAAAGCTGTTATAACAATCATAATGTGCATGTCTTTTTCCATATGAACTTTAAACCTACTTTTGCCCACCCCTGTATAAGAATATACACAAATTGTCCTCACTATTCCCAATGGCTTTAAATATAAAAATTTAATTATATTAACAATTATACAAAGTCAAATTTTAATTATGTTAATTATACAAAGTCAAAAAGGTGCTGAAGACGAGAAACATTTTAATAAAAACCTTGATACCACTTTGCATTGGTGATGTCAGAAAAAAAGAATGGAGAAAATAAATTTCTCAGAGATTTTTAAAGGAAGAATAAATTTAAGGAAAAATTCCTTTGGACTCTACAGCCTTCTTTTTTATTCTGTACCTTTTCATGCTTCAACATATGCCAAAAAATAATTTACTGAATAAAAGTAGCCAGGAAGGAAATCAAACATTTATAAGATATATTTATTATTTTTCTGACCAAAGTGCAGTGATTTTTAAATCTTCTTAAACAAATAACTATGAAAAAATATTCAAGGAAATAAAATACAAATGAGAAATTTAACCATTAGATTTCTTCTACTTTATACTAACCTTAAATTTAGTCTAGAAAACAAACCAAAAAAACCCCCAAACCATTTTACCGTAAATCTAGTACATGCATTTCAAGGTTTCACTGCTAGGAATTTTGTTGAGATCAATTTAATCATTAATAACACTATATAATAGAGCATAAGGAACTCATGTCATTAGATATGACCCTTGTCCCTTATCCTCAGATTTATGTCAGAATAAAGCTGACAATTCTGCCAGGCTCTGAACCCCCAGTGCCCTCATCCCAATCCCTGGAAGCAGACTATGCCATGTCATACAACTTTGTACAAATTGTATTAAAACTAAAACATAGCTAAGTTTTCTTACCTTTTTATAGGATATAGTCAGTTATTGGATAAATACTAAAACACTTCTAGCAATTCATCTTATGAGTTTGTTTACCAAACACATTGTGCAAGAACTAACTACACAAAAAGTTCCTTTGGAATTTGGTCCATAAATTCACTTAACAGGTTGGAAATTTAAAACCTGCAAGAAAAAGAGGAAGTGAGGAATCCCTAATCCTGACACGTTGTAATCACTAAAAGGATATATGCATACTAAAAAGTTTTGCTCACAGAAGGCACAAACTATAAAAGGGATATCCTTATCGAATAAAAACAAAGAACTAGCTAATGCCCTTCCTTGTTTTGTGAGCACCATAGCTAAGACAAAGTTTAGACCCGAATTCATTGTCTACTCCTGTGACAAAAAAAAAAAAAAAAAATTGAAGATAAAAAAATTTAATTTGTCTTACTATATACTTTCTGGCCACTAATTGTGATGTAATTATGAAAGATTAAAATTGCCTTAAAAAGGGATTGTGATAGCAGCTATCAAAGCAATATTCAAGCATGATTTCAAGGATGCTTTCAGGTTTAGTTAGCCTTCTTTGTCAAAAATCTTCACAACTTCATCAAAAACCTGTAAAGGAAAAAGACAGGAATAATTTTAAAAGCAGATATTGTTAAAATACCATGTGGCTTAGAAGTGTATCAATTTTATATTAATTTCCAAAGTAGATAATTAAAATACACATTATGATTTCTTAGTTTTATTTATTTTACTTTTGACAGTAATATAATACCATAAATAATACATATAAGCCCTGGCCGGTTTGGCTCAGTGGATAGAGCATCGGCCTGCAGACTGAAGGGTCCTGGGTTCGATTCCCGGTCAGGGCACATGCCTGGGTTGCGGGCTCGATCCCCAGTGTGGGGTGTGCAGGAGGCAGCTGGTTGATGATTCTCTCTCATCATTGATGTCTCTCTCTCTCTCTCCCTCGCCCTTCCTCTCTCTGAAATCAATAAAAATATATTTAAAAAATTCATATAAAATTATGAACATGTTGCATTCAATTTTAGGACAAAATAAAACTTCTTAATCGGCTACACAAAAATTGATAAAATGGAAGTGGCTTATCTTCCTAGTTCTGATTCTAAAACACTAAAGTTTTCTGATATATTACCTTACCACTATACAAAGTGGCAATAGATAAAAAAAGCAAAAATGACTATACAATAACAAAGAAAGGTCCAGAGGAAGAAGATTCAGGTAATCAGGGGATGACTGGGTGAATTAAAAAGCACTAGAAATAGTTGCTGGGCACTGAGGGCTTTCGAACCACAGTTGAGAGAAGACAGCTGACTTATGAAGGAAGAGAGAAGTGCTGAGCCACGGACACTGTGCACCTCTGGAGCGACGTGTTTTTATTTTTTTTTCCTTTTTATTGAATTTATTGGGGTGACACGGGTTATCAAAATTATACAGGTTTAGGTGCACAATTCTACAACACATCATCTGTACACTGCATTGTGCACTTACCACCCCAACTCAAGTCTCTGGCCATTAATATTTATCCCCACTTTCCCCCACTCCTGCTGCCCCCTGGAGCTCTGTGCTCTGTGACAAAAGAAATGAAGGCAGCCTCGGGCTCCTGAGCTAGATAACCTGCAATTCATATTATGGATTTTTTTTAATGCTCATGGTCCAAAGCATAGTCTCAAATGCCAATTTTCCAGTGTTTGAGAAATGAGGTTTGGAATTAATAAACCACCCACTTCTATGAAGACAAGTCTGAAGTTGTAAAACCCATTTTAGACTATTCAAAAAGGAGAAAAAGCCTAATTTTTCATTTAATCTCAGTGTCTTGAAAAGCAAACTGTTCTGTCATACTATTTTTTTTCTCCTGCCTATGCTCTCCATCACATTTTTACTTGACTTTTTTCTTTTTAAGGCAGGATAGGGATACTCACTTCATCAACAGATTTAGAAGCATCTATTTTCTTGACTTTTCCCATTTCTTCATATAAGTCAATAACTGGCTTTGTTGACTGAAGATAGGTTTGAATTCTGGGGAAAAAAAGGCAAATATTGCAAGGTTCTAAGTATTCATCCATTCTCCTCCATGTTATAGGATAGCTCAGAGAACACTGGATCTGACCCAACTGACTCCCTTAGCATCTTCTTAGATAAGCCATTTCACATAGTTAAGCATGACATTATCTTTTTCTGGACCAAAATGAGGCAAGTATTTAACCTGCTATTCAAGTTCCAAACTGAGATTGAGGTGGCTTATTGTATAAAAACTGCAAAGTACCTCTTTTCCAAGCTCTCTCTGTTGTCATCACTCCTACCACTACTCTTTCCCCTCTCAAGACATCGTTCAATACAGATCTAAAAAGAAAAATAAATACAAAGTTATTATAAAAAAAGAAAGATATGAATTTGTCAATCTTTTAACCTGAAAAGAGAATAAATTTTGAAGAGTTAAAAAAAAAAACCTGCATTAAACTGAATGTATCTAATTCATTAATCAACATGTAAAGTCCTTTTAAATTTAAACATGTGGTTCAATTTATATAAACTAGATTAAGTAAGTACAGAGCATAATACGAATTCATTCATGACTCAGTTTTTCCTGTGTATTTTTTTTTTCAAACCGCAATAAAAAGAAGATCTATGTGTGTATGGGTCCATCTAGGATACATTATTAACTTATTAGGTATGAATTACATGCCTCTGACTTTGTCCTATTTTTGCTTACTTTTCAGTAATTCCATAAATATCCAAATATTGAAGAATCAACATATTTGCATTTGAATAAAGTACCCCTTGTTAATCATGAATAAACATTCCTTAGTTATAAAGCTGTGGTAACATTCTAAAGTTAACTTTGAAGAATAAGTGAAAACATATTTTTGGGGGTTGGAAGAAGAGAGTTACATTTTAAAACAACTCAAAGGCTTCAGCAAGTCCCTCCACCAGAGGCACATTTGCAATTCAACCAGCCAACTTCCTTCAAAGCAGAACTTCAGATTCTTATTCTTTCAGGCTGTTGACATGAATTTAATGAAGTTTACAGGTGTGAAAGGCCTTTTAATTAAATGAGTCCAAGAAATTAACTCAGTTAGTCAAAGGTATGTCTAAGTATGCTATTGGAAGTGCCAGAAAGAAAAAGAATGCTTTCCTGCTTTTTTTCAAGATCATTTTACACTCTGAACACAAATCAGGCTATCTTAACTGTTGCCTTAAAATAGAAAGTTTTCCCAAATTCCCAGAAATATGTGCTTCTTTTCCAATAAACAACCATCCCAAGGCAAGATACACTCTCTAATAGTACATACCTCAGAAGTAACAGGGCAGCTTCATTACTTAACATTATTATACAAGTCAATTTTTACTTAAAAACAAAGAAAATTCTTATTATTTTCAAAATAAAGCAAATTTTAGGTCCACAAGATTGCTGATGTCAAAAAATGTTTAACACTCCAAGAGCAAGACAGTGCTATTCTGTCCAGCCAATGTTCCAATTCAAAAAAATACTGCTGCCAATATAAAATGGAATATAAGTAAAAAGTGACTGCATTTCTCTAATCATTGAATCAAGTTGTTTAAAGCCCATGTGGGCAGATGAAGATGTTCATTACCTCATTATCACAATCAAAAAACAGAACGAAAGATACATCTGCCTTCCCATCCATGGTCTTATTCCAACCTTGAAGGTTGTCTTCATTTCTTGGAAACCCATCAATCAAGAATTTATTCTTCTGAGCATTGGCAGCCATTATCTGATCCATTTCCTAAAAGAAAAGGAAGATTTAGGGTCAATACTACATTAACAATTTCTTAAGGAGGGTAGTGGATATATTGGTGTTTCTTTTATTATTCCTTAAATCAGAAGTAAAGCATGAAGGATGCATAGACAAAAATTGACTTAAAGAAAATGATCTGCCTTGGCTAGTGTGGCTCAGCTGGTCATGCACCAGAAGGTCGCTGGGCTGATTCCAGGTCAGGGCACATGCCCAGGTTGCTGGCTTGATCCTCAGTATGGGGATGTGCAGGAGGCAGCCAACTGATGTTTCCCTCTCACATGAATCTCTCTCTCTCTCTCTCTCTCTCTCTCTCTCTCTCTCTCTCTCTCTCTGTCTCACTTCCTTTCTCTCTAGAAAAATCAATAGAAATATATATTTTTTAAAAGAAAATGATCCAATTAGTATTACCAGTAACATGGTTGCCTCGAGCTAGTGGAATTATGGGTATGTATCCTTCCCCCATTTTATGCACATTCACATACAATTTGTGGGCAGTTTCCAAATGTTCTACAGTAAGCATGTATTACTTTCACATACACATTCACAGCATAAAGAGAAATATAAGTATTAATCAATATCTTTGCTTCAGCCACTAGAGACCCTATCCAGCCCTCCCCCTCCCCTTCCCAAATCATCTTGCTGTGGTGAGAAGTATGCTGCATCTAAAGGCACTCAGATTCTCTGCAATAATTCAAGTCCAATTGCAAAAATCCTTGGGAAAATATAAAGAGACTGCTAGCATTAATGATTAGTATAGGAGTTAATATTCTCTCTTTTTTTAAACTGCAGCTAATTAAACCTAAATGTCACTGGCTACCCCGAAACACAGGTAGCAAAGAAAACAATACGTTCAGAGAGACAGCAGAACACCTCACCATCCTCTTCCAAAGTCTGAATTTAGGTAGGAGAATGTGGATATGTGAATGGGAGATGCAGATCTCTGATCTCCAAATCCTTACCACTACTAATCCCCACGGGCTAATAAGCTCAGATGCATGGTTTGGTCAAACTCCCGAGGAGCCTCTTTTCCAAAGCAAACCAATATCTAGTCCCATAAGTGCTCACATGGTCAAGACCCCTGATTCCTTTATCTGAGTGTTGGCTTTATCCCAGCATCTAGCTTCTCCAATATTCACAACACTTCCACACAATTCTTTTGGACTTCTATTATAGCATTTCTACCCCAATTATGGTAGTGGAAGATATCAGAAGAGGTACATCCATATTCTACTCACTCAACACACATTTGAGGCCAACTATCAGGGAACATGAAAAGCAAGGTCATGGCCCCTGGGGAGCTCAAAGTCCAGTGGATAACAAAATGTAATTAAATGTGCTAAGTTCTATAATGAGGTATAAAAGGATGCTATGATAAAACAAAGAAGCAAGCACTAACTATCTGGGACATTCAGAAGCTTTACCCAACAAGGGCACATGTGGGAGGCAGTCAATCTATGTGTCTCTCTCACAATGATGTTTCTCTCTCTTCTCCCTTCCTCCCTCCCTTCCACACTCTCAAAGTAAATGGGGAAAAATACTCTCAGGTGAGGATTAACAAAAACAACAAAATTCAATACTCTGAATATTTTCATTACTCAAAGAAAAGGCAGATTTAACTTATCATTTCCTTGCTTATTTAAATTGGTTGGCATTCACATTCCTTACCCTCTTTAACAAACTGATGGTTATCTCAACTGGCACAATCTTTCCATCTTTAATGTACTTTTCAATGAGTTCACCATACTGTGAATCTGGGTTTTTCCTTTCATCACGAAGAAGTTCTCCTGCAGAAAGGTGTGTATAGCCATATTTCTGGAAGAAACAACACATAGGAAAAAAAAATCAGAATACATTCAACCTAATAGAACTATTGTTTTTTTCCCTTCGTTTTAATGTCTATACTCTATTTCTTTTCTTACAAAAAAGAAGTTTGGCTTGTATATTAAATAATTTAATATTTTAAGAGAGATTTCATGCGATCTCTCAGTTTGCTTAAAAATATACTTTACCACTCAGCCAGTGTGGAGTAGTGGTTGAGCATCAACCCATGAACCAGGAGGTCACAGTTCAATTCCCAGTCGGACACATGCCTGGATTGCAGCAAAATGATGACTCTCCTCATTGATGTTTCTATCTCTCTCTCCTCTCCCTTCCTCTCTTTGAAATTAATAAAAACACATTTTAGACATATACATTTATTTATTTTACCTACATAGGGCATGGTAGCTATAATGGTCACAAACCATGAAATCCTCCCAAAATTTATCTAATTATTCAAGACATTAACACCTCATTATATTTCTTCACAAACACTATCAACAATCAATGTTGAAATGTTATTAACATTCAAAAAATGCCTAACAAGTATCCATAAGATTCAAGGCAAAAAAACAAAACAAAACCTTGGCTGTGTTTTTTATATAGCAATGCAAATGTTCAGTGAAACACCAACAATACAATTGCTCTTTATGGATTGCCTCTGTTATATGAAAAACAAATTCCTTGTTTAAAACCCACATTCTATAAAATCTGCTTCCCTTCCTTAAGCTCAACATGTCTAAACTGAACTCATCAGCATTTACACAATCTCCATTCTTCTGTTTTATTCCCTTTCTCAGTAAACAGTATAAGTCCTACACAAAATCAGCTTTCCTGGCCACTCTGGTCACATCAAAAAGCATCTAAGAGTATCACCACCTAGACCAGCATCTTCCTTACTACTCTCAAATGTCCATTTCCTACCTCTCTAGTGAGGTCTCATTAATAGGGAAATACAGTTACCTATTTTATATGTTAGTGGAATGAGTAAATGAGATAATATATGGAAATCGCATACCAGAGAGCCTAACACATAGTAGGGGATAAAAGCCATCAATTACAAATAATCTGGAAGCATATATATATATATATATATATATATATATATATATATATATAAATTTTTATGTTATAATATGTGTATATATAGTCAGTGTAATGGTTTTGATAGAAAAACTAATCAAGGTGTTTAAGTGAGATGATAGATATGAGTATCTTATGAAAGGTCAGTAAGTATAGTTTCATGACTGTGATTATCATTATTATTAAGGACTTACAAATGCTGTATTAGATCATAGGTCACATTATAGGGTAGTTGAGCTAAGTCACATACAATGCTATGGTGTTGTTCTGCCATTTCCCCAAGGTCAGAATGAGAAAACAATATAGATCTAAGAAATAATACTGAAAAGCTTTCTCTACTGAACTTGCACATTCCCTTTGATTAAATCAAAAGAACCGTAAAATCTATTTTTAAAATATTTTTACTCCCAAATATGACGACACTCAGAACTACATTCAATATTCAGTTACAACAATCATATCATCCTAAATTCTTAAGACTCCCTAAGTGGGTTTTATCTTATCCATAGTAAGTGAACAATAAATAGTTGATAACTTAAATCTTATCTTTTTTTTTTTTTAAATATATTTTATTGATTTTTTACAGAGAGGAAAGGAGAGAGGTAGAGAGTTAGAAACATCGATCAGCTGCCTCCTGCACATCTCCCACTGGGGATGTGCCCGCAACCCAGGTACATGCCCTTGACCGGAATCGAACCTGGGACCCTTCAGTCCGCAGGCCGATGCTCTATCCACTGAGCCAAACCGGTTTCGGCAAATCTTATCTTTTTTAAATATATTTTTATTGATTTCAGATAGGAAGGAAGAGGGGGAGAAAGAGATAGAACATCAATGATGAGAGAGAATCATTGATCACCTGCCTCCTGCATGCCCCACACAGGGGATCGGTTCGAACCCACAACGGGCATGTGCCCTGACGGGGATGGAACCATGAACTGATTCATAGGTCAATGCTCAGCCACTAAGCCACCTTGGCTGGGCTTAAATCTCATCTTTAATTTCAACATTAATATCTGAGGCAGCCCATACTCCCACCCTCCTTTCAAAGTAGTATCTCAACTGCACATTTTACAAAAATGAACTCTTTCAATTACCCAGGCTATGGTGAGTTTTTTTTCTTTTTCTTTTTTTTTTTTGGATTGCAGAAGCCATGTTCTTTACCCCTTTTCTATTTCCAAAAATTGTTGGCAAACTTGTCCTTGCTTATTAAAGTAAGTTAACAGTTAGGTAGTCAGCAAATACTAAATAGTTTATTTGCTGACTAAAATTTGGCATAAAGTTCGGTCAGAATAAACAACCATAGTATAATTCATGTCTCTTAGTCATATAGCTCCTTCCATTAGAAGAAATGACCAAACGTGTATTTAGTTGTTGTAATAGGCTTTTAAAAAATTTCTAACATTTACAGAAAAATGAAATATGAAAGTGTTTAATTATTTAAACTGTTATTTTAAAATTATTTCCACACCACACCATTTTAAATGCCTACTTTGTTCACCAAGTATAAGCAAACTTTTGAAAGATGGGTGTAGAAAGGACTTTATAAAAAATGAAGTGTGACATACTTTCCCATTTATTATGTACAATTTTCAAAAGGTATTTTGCATATACTGTCAACAAAATTTTATAGCAGCTTCATTCCCCACTGCTTACTTTGGCTCCTGCTTGGAAGTCTATGCTTGCTGGTTGCTCTCAGCTGGTCTAGAGATTACAGCATATGGTAATGTTGAATAATGCAGAGACAAACAGTACTAAACAATGCAAATGTTCAGTGAAACACCAGCAATACAATTGCTCTTTATGGACTGCCTCTGCTATATGAAAAACACGAACATTTAGAAGCCCAGCTAGTGATTTAGAAATTAGTACATACACTGTTTGTTTCCTGACACTGCAGAACTCAAATCTGTAAGCTTTATGTTGCATTAAAATGGGTTTTGCATACCATTTTTAAAAGAGAAACCAGCTGCAAACTGTAGAGGTATACAAATGGAATTTTAAAAAAATAATTAGTCTGTCAAAAGAGAGAAAACAACCTAATCTGCAAAGTCCTAGGAAACAAGGAATTTAAATAAATATAACCATGTCAAACCTACATGTGTCTTTCTATTTCTCATCCACATTCCATTGTTTAAAAATCCTCCATTTATCAGTGATTTTTTATACTATATTTTTCTTAAGGATTTTGCAGTTTTCCTCTTACCACAGAGTTTCTACAACAAAAAAAGCAGCTATTACTTACATATTAGTTATTATAGTATTTTACTAATAGCTATACTTTTTTTTCCAGTGGAATGACATTTTCTTTAAATTTCTTTATTGATTAAGGTATTACATATGTGTCCTTATCCCCCCATTACCTCCCCATCCCCCCCCCCCCCACTCATGCTCTCACGCCCCTGTTGTCTGTGTCCATTGTTTAGGCTTATATGCATGCATACAAGTCCTTTGGTTGATCTCTCCCCCTTACCCCCACCCTACCTTCCCTCTAAGGTTTGACGTCATAGCTATACTTTAAAGAGCGTGTTTTCAAAGTATTATGCTTTCATTAAGTAATCACTGATCCAATTTTAAAGGAAGCAAGAATGGGTATTTCCTAGGCTTAACCAAAACATTTTTACATTCTCTGAAATTTCCGAGCAATTAAAACCTAGTGGTCACTAAATACAGTCTTAAGAGCAACATGTACACCACCGCAAGTTGTTAATACTATAAACTACAATAACTACCATGACATAAACTACTATTCAACTAAAAATAGTTTTCTAGTGACAAATGTATAAATAATTCATTTAGAGTAACTGTCTTTATGTTTTACTTTCATTTTCCTTCTTTAAGAAGTTAAAAAACAACTCAACTTTTATGAATCACACACTAACATTTGGAGGGAGAAAAAAATCGCTATGTTCTCAATAAGACAAAATGACATTCTATATTACTACAACTAGGCAAATGTTGATAATAATGATATCAAACCTCAAATCATCTTGATCAATTTCTCTCAGTTCCTAGCCCTAAACCCTAACTAACTCTAACCCTGTCTTTCCTTCTTTCTAAATTTAGCTAATGTGGTTCTATGTGAACAAAAACAAACAACAACAAATAAAGAGTTCAAGGTAAATGGCAAGTCCTTGGAGGCAAGAAGAGATCCACTGGACTGCTACTGAGCCTTGCACTACATAGAGGGAATATATATTAGATACAAATATATTTTTAAACAAACCAGAAAGAAAGAAGAAAAACTGTCAATATTTATATATGGCATGATATTGTATATAGAGAAACCTAAAGATGTGAAAAAACTACTAGAACTGATAAATGAATTCAGATTACAAAATACCCAGAAATCAGTTGCATTTTTTTCAACTCAGTCTTAAAATTATTTCTTCAATAGTTGCATTTTTATAAACCAATAATGAACTATCAGAAAGGGAAACTAAGAAAACAAGCCCATTTACAACTGCATTAAAAAAAATAGCCAGGAATAAGTTTAACCAAGGATACAAAAGGCCTAAACTTAGAAAATTATAAGACACTGAAGAAGGAAACTGAAGAAGATACAAATAAGTGGAAGCATATACTGTGTTCATGGATAGGAAGAATATCATTAAAATGTCCATACTACGCAAAGCAATCTATAGATTCAATGCAATTCCTATGAAGTTACATTTAATGGCTATTTCACAGAACTAGAACAAAAAATTACATGGAACCACAAAAGCTATAACTGGTTTGGCTCAGTGGATAGAGTGTCGACCTGTGGACTGAAGGGTACCGTGTTTGATTTCGGTTCAAGAATCGTTGCAGGCTCCTCCCCTGCTGGGGCCCTGGTCGAGCGCATGGGGGAAGCAATCAATCGATGTGTTTCTCTCACATCGATATTTCTCTCTGTCTTTCCTCTCTCTTCCACT